AAAAAAGATAAATCACTACAAATATATGTGAACTATTAAAGACTCAACAAGATCATTATTAAAAATAGATATCTTTTATCTTTGATATTAGGACTTTTTTATCAATTATATTAAAGAAAAATCTATACTAAAATAGATCTACAAAGAATATATAATCTAATATATATTAAAAAAAGAGATAAGTAGAGGATTGTCTTCTAAACCAAATATGGATATTTTGAATATAATATCATGCCTTTTGGATGTATAAATGTACCACCTATTTTTCAAAATATAATGAATGATTTTTTTTGAGACTTTTTAAATGATTTTATTATCTTTTAGTATGTACTAAAATAATAGATATTTTAATTTATTCTTAAAATAAAAAAATTATCATTTTTATTATTTTTAAAATCTATCAATCTATAATAATTTATGTTTATGAAGTATTACAAAAATTTAGAGATGGAAGACTATATGCAAAGATGGAAAAATGTGTATTTTATACAAATCAAGTTGACTTCTTAAGAAATATCATTATAAATGGGATATTATTATAGAATCTTTAAAAAATTTAAAATATTATGGATTGATAGATTCTAAGAATAATAAAAGATTTGCCATATTTTTTGAGATTTGCTAAAAACTATCAAATCTTTATTAAGAATTTTTTTCAAGTTATAATTCTATTTATATGTTTGACTTCCAAAGATAAACTTCAATAGAATAAAGAAGCAAAAGTATTATTTGAAGCTTTGAAGGTAACTTTTACTTTTGTACCAATCTTGTATTGCCTCAACTTTTTTAAAGCATTTTTTATAGAAACAAATATATCAAAAAAATTCTTGGGTGAAGTACTCTTACAAATGAAACCAAATGATCATCTCACCTAGTAGTTTTTAATTGAAAAAAATTTAGCAATGAAGATCAATCACAAGAACTATGATAAAGAATTTCTTGTAATTATAGATTTATTTTAAAAATGGCGCCATTATCTAGAAGGTGCTTCTAATTTAATTATTGATTATACAAATCACATTAACCTTAAGTATTTCATATCAACACATATTTTAAATTGTCGCCAAGTCTATTAGAGCATGTCTTTGTTAAGCTTTGAATTCAAGATTATATATTAGCTAAAAAAATAATAAGGTTTTTTGAATGCCCTTTCTAGATATTTTTATCTTACATCAAAAAAAATAAGATATAACTTATGATCAAGAATAAAAAAAAAAAAAAAAAAAAAAAAAAAAAAAATTGAAGCCAAAATAATTTCATCTTTAAATAATATAATCAATACTATTTTTTAATTCAATTTAATTAAGCAAATTCAATTAAATATTTCTTTAAATCCTCTTATTCATATTATTAAGAATAATATACCTAAATCTTATGATATTTTAAAGTTTGAAATTAAAAACAATCTACAATATTTTAAAACATGTTTATATGTTTCCAAAGATAATACACAATTAGAAGCTCTTTAAGTCTATCATAATTTTTAATTGCATAGCATTTTGGATATATAAGACCTTAAAGCTCATATCTACAGAATTTTGGTGGCTTCAAATGTGGAAAACAATAAAAAAATTTGTACAATCATGTAATCTTTATTCAAAATTAAAATATATATATATATATATATATATATATATATATATTGATTTTATGGACTTTTCTAGCTATTATATATACTTGAACAACCATATTCTTCTATTTCTATAGATTTTATCAACAATCTTTCAATCTTAAGTTTTTATGATTTTATATTTGTAATAATATTTTTTTTACTAAAATAATATATTTTTTATCATATATAAAATATATCACAAGTAAAAAAATAATTTTAAAAAAATTGAAAATATTTATTGCTATCATGGATTATTAAAATACATTATATTAGATAGAGGGATTCTATTTGTATCAAGGTTTGAGATGGATATAAAATTATCTTTGGCTTTTTATCCTCAAATTGATAGACAAATGGAACAAGTAAATCAAGCTTTGGAGCAATATTTGAGATGTACCATCAATTACTATTAAAATGATTGGATAATTCTTTTGTCACCAAAAACGTTTTTTCATAATAATATAATAAATTTTTCTATTCAAAAAATATTTTTTTATTATAATTATGGTTATTATCCATGACTTAATACTTTTGATTTTTTAAAAAATAATAATCCTATAGTAGAAGATTTGACAAATTATTTATCAGAGTTATATGCAATACTAAAGGCACAATTAAATGAAGTTCAAGAATGATAAAAGATCAATGCAAATGCCTATTGCAAATAACTTCAATTCTATATTAGCAATCATTTATGATTACTTTGTTATAATATTAATACTAATCACTCTTATAACAAGTTGGATTATTATAGACTTGAATAATTTCTTATTTTTTAAAAAATCAATCTAGTTGCATATTAATTACATCTACCAAAGTTTATAAAGATCCATCTTATATTCTATATATCTTTTTCTGAACCATAAAAGACAATAGATATACAAGAAAGAAGAAAAATTTTACTTCTTTGTATGAAAATTTATAATAATTAATAATTTGAGATTAAAGAAGTCTTAAATTCAAGGCAATGCAAAAATAGGTTAAAATATCTTATACATTGGCATAGATATGGCATTAATAAATGCATATGGGAGCCAACAAAGAATCTTACAAATACAAAAAAGAAGGTTGATGCTTTTCATTAACAACATCCATTAAAATCAAAATATAGACTTTAAAAATTCTTTATAATAAAAAAAATAATGTTCAAAAGATTACATTCTATCTTCTAGCTTTGTTTTTTGATATTTGTGTATTTGTGGCACTAAGATAATAAAGAATCAAAAATCAATAGAATCAACTCAAGAGATATTTTTTGTTGAGTTATCAAACAATCTATTAAGATTGTAATAACCTTTAAGTTGACATAATTAAAATAAAGATCCTTAGGAATAATATGTTATTTTTTAAATAAAAAATAATATACAACATATTTGATACTACAATTTTAATAGATGCTTTAATGTTTGGTAATATTATTCAAGATAAGAACTATCCCTGATGGTATTTTAAATATTTTATTTAAAAGAAGTTATGAATAATAAATAGATATCAGGTTTTAATAATGAACAAATATTAAGGTAGTCATCACTTCTTCCTATGGAACTTTTTTGATGGATGAAAAGTCCTATCAACTATCTTCAAAAGAAATAAAGATTAGAATATGTGGCAAATATAATTTGTTGCATCTTAGACTTTTTCAACATGTGATTACTACTCTTTGTAGAATTCATCTCTAAAAAGAGAGATAATGTAAGGAACAAATATATTTAATTTAATAAAAAATATTAAATAAAAATAAATATAGGTAGATTTGATAATATCTTATAGAAAAGCTTTTAAAAGCTTTATAAATATGGATTTGATTTTTTACATATTTATAGTTGATTAGTAGATTAAAAACTTTGTCAACGATTTGGCTACATGTTGTACGTGTTGGCAATTTGTGATACAAATTGACCATGTGGCATACATAAAGGGACTTTGTTTTATAAATTAAACATGTGCTTTGCAAATTGGACATGTGTCAAAGACCTTATAGAATGTCGCAACATAGCTTCTAGTTAGATAGTATATATGGAGGCTTATCAATGCTTTTTTTGTCCTTAGCCTTGTTTCAAGAGACTTTAATTTTTGTATCTTTGATTATAGTCATTATAGTTCAATATTATATCATCTTTGATTTATCATGTACTCTTTTCTAGTGAACCAAAAGTATATTAATTCTTTGATTTTTTATGAATAATGTCCTTAATACAAAATGACTCTTCTTTAATTGCAATGATTTTCTCACTATTACAATCTTTTTTAGATTTTAGGCTAACTAAATTAAACCAAATTTTTATAATTAGTCATATTACACTATGCATGGACTCTAAATTCTTATAGAAGCAATTATGTTCTTTGAAGCCCATAATCCATCTTGCTTATATTTTCTTTCATTTTTTTCAAAATAATTTGATTCTTGTATGTATATCTTTAATTAATATAAAAAAAGGTTGGAATTTTTATTATTGTACTTCTCTTAGCTAATTCTAGATTTGAGACAATTTTGACATCAAATTTTGTATCATATTAATAAAAGATATATATGTCCAAAAAAGTTTTGAATAGAAATTAAAATAAAATTTTGTATACATGATTTTAGAAAGACAATTTTAAATAAAAATGTCATTTACCAATATTTCTCTTTTACAATATTGATCTCTTAATCACTTATTCCAAATTCCCTATTTATATCTTAAATTGTTCTATAGAAGGTTTTTCTCCACAAAAACAAGCAATCACAACATGTTTTTAAAGAAATGTCATCTATATTTTAACTACCATACTATCCACTTCCACAATGCAATATTTAGTTTTACTAAGAAATCCAAATACCTTCTCAAAATCTCAACAAAAGAAGTTATTCTTATGTTACTTTTATGAGATACAATTTTTTTAAACTTGTATGTATGTTTCAAATACATCTAAGATACATTATTTATGAAATATATTAAATTGCACAATTCAAGCTTTTATACAATGATAAGAAATATTCTCTTATGAATTCTTATTCTTTTATTTCATGCCTTAATTAAAAGATGCCTAGGTAATATCTCTAAACCCTAATTTAATCCTACATCCCTCTCCTTTCTTCTATTTCATTTCTTTACAGTTTTAGTTTTTATTTTCATAAAACACCTATATTCTAATCTCGGCTTAGTACAATTTCTTAAGCTTTATACTCTTTCTAATCTATCTCCTCAAAGCAAACATGCATGAAAACAATCCACACCCTTTAGATGCTTTAATCAAAATTTGTTGATTTATGTTGAGAATTTCAACTCTTGAGAATTTCAACACTCCACTACTAAGCTGAGTATGTGGCTGAATTTTTTTTATAAAAATATCTTCACTATGCTTCGGCATATTCGTCACATGTAACAAATGCGGACAGAACGTATAATTTAACCAAAGATAGCAAGCTAACTAAGAAAAATAAGCATGAAATAACATTGTAATGGACCTGAAGTGGGAAAACCTTCTCCAGAAAATTGAACATACCACGTCTCACTTCAGTGAGTACACTCCCATATTCAAATGCCACGTAAATTTAGCACAACATTGCGCAAGGACTTGCATGCTGCCGGATGAAGACATTGTCCACACTTATTATCTTACGTACAGGCACCGCATCTGAAGCTCTACATTACAAAATAACCAAATACCAACATTTAATATCTCAGAAGTCGTCCCCTCTAGACACAACTTCCTTGCACGTTGGTCGCATAAATATCGTGTGCTCGTGCTGAGACACATAGCTTCCCTTCACATCGCACAGAGGAGGGTATGGCTGCAAACACAGGCAACAACATTACAAATTCCTCAGCAGTGCTTCCAATTTTAAAGTTCACCTTTGTAAACAGCGCAATGAAAACGACTAACCAAGCTGATACGAAAGAGACTAGACAAAAAATAAAAAGAAATCGGAGAGCTTCAAATGGAGGTATCAACACAGTAAAAAGACCAAAACATGTCCTGACATAGAATATCTCAATATGCCAGGCGCAATCATTACAAAACATTATTGGCTTCATCGAAAATATCAACTAAATTTACGATCGCCCCAACGAAATAGCACGCTACAGAACAAACCAGTGAATCAAATATACTCCACCATCAAAGTTTCAAACCACACATACACATATGACGCTACCATACAACACATCGGAACAAACCTGCACAACTCCTTGATCACACAAATTCTTCAATGCCATCAGGTACTTCGTCTCTCCCAGCCGGTCAAGATAACGCCGGCAAAACGCTAGCGTTGAAAAGTTCTTGTCGATTGTTGCCAACAGCTTCTTTGCAGCCGGTAACCGCAGAGGCACATGACCCACATCGAAGTTCTTCATGTAGTGACTGCACTCCAGGTCTTCCCTGATGTACCCTTTCCCTGCGCCACCAACCCCCATCCCATCATTCCTCTCCCAAACACCTTCCACTCTACGTCTCTCCAACTCTCCCATCCACCTACCCTCCTTTCCACAACCACCCAAATCTGCAATCTATCATCCCCGACTCTTACCCGTGGATGCGAACGTCTCGATCGCATAAAACTCCCCTTCCTCCATTCTCGTCTGTTCCCCTCCTTTCACGATAGGAACCGACTTGCCACCGTGAATTTGATACGGTCCGATGCTGTGACCGTTCAAATTCCTCACGCTCTTGACTGTCATCCACCATTCCACCCCAACCACGCCCAACCTCATCAACTGCCCACCTACCAACCAAACCATCACAACAATCCAACCTCCACGCTCTCCCTATTGCTTTCCACGCTTGCGGATCTATCCCAAATACCCCAACCCACCCACAATCACGTCAACCCTCACACTACCCTCATTCCACGCCACAATCCACCTACAACCACAACCATGCCATCGTCACCACCCACAAAACCGTCCCATCACTTACTTTGGAATGTCTTCCCTCCGATCTCAACCTCATAAGACTCTAGCGTCTCCTGAATGGCGGCCCCGATGTCACCAAGCCGAACGTCGATTCCAGCTTCCTGTTCACCCACAAGTACTTCCTTCCCTCAGATCACACGGCCTCGCGTCCCAAAACACACATACAACCAACCTATCCTCCGCATCAACATGCCAATCCATTTCAACCTACCAAACCTATCCTGTATCCACACCTCACCACCGACCAACCAACGCATGCTCCTTCACTGCACCCAATCCCAAAACACCCTCGTCCAGAGCAGTACCCGGATTCCAGTGTTTGTGGCCTCTCGTGACGCTTCCAGCAGAGGATCGAACTGTGGATTAAATGCCACCGTAAACGCGCAGTCAACGATCCGCCCTGAGTTCACCACCACAACAACCACCCCACTCTTCACATTCTCATTCAAACCACACTCGCCACGCACCATGCAACCCAAAACCTTCCCCAAAATGCCTCAACCCTACACTCCCATTGCAAAAAACACCTCCACATCGCAACTCCACAAAGACAACCCTTCACCTGCACTGCTCATCAACCACCAAACCTGCACCTAGCACAGGTATTAGCTTTCGCTTCTCCACGATTCACACTTCACTGTATCTTTCCATACAACGACCATCCATGCCTGCTTCACCGGGAGCTTCTTCTCGCCGCGTCAACTCATTCATACCCCGCCTCACTATCTCACCATCACCCCTCAACCATACCATCGCACTTTCACATCCACATTACGTGACACGTCCCAACACCCATCTCCCCAAACCAGCTTATCACTCACCTTCTATGTGTGTCCCGAAATCCAACTTCATCACATCGTCGTACTGGAGCACTGTTTTATCTCCGGAGTTGGGAGTCCAATGTGCTGCCACCCTACCAGGACCACACCCAACGCCAACACTCCCCGTAAACACACACATCACCATTGCCCACTCTACGCCTTACCACACACACCACCACAGGGCAACTCACGACTGTTCGTAATACAGCATGATTCACGGAGGTCAGCGTTTCACTTCTCTGGTACCAATTCAAGGAGCAACCCGTAGGAAAGGCGATGCCGGCCTTCAGCCCGTTCTCCGAAATAAGCCTTCGCACCATGTTCTCCAAAGTCTCGCACAAATCCACCATGGCTACCCCTGGTTTGGCGTACGTTCTGATGTACTTCCGCACCTGCACATCAGAACACCAACTGCTGTGAGAGACTTTCTCTGGAGAGTGCCCAAATTCACTTGTGCTGCAAGGGTACCCCAATAGGTCCTTGGATTATATTTCGCAACCTTTGATTACTCTCTTAAAAAAAGAATACACCTTGAAACAGTGAACAAATCCAAGCAGAATGGAAACTCTTTAAGAAAACACTTCAGAACCTCCTCATCAAGCTGATCATTTCACTGCATGCATGAACTCAATAAATATGTTCTCAAGAAATCAATGAGATGGAATGAAATCTAAGAGACGGTTAACCTGACGGTGCACTTCGGCAGCCTGACGGATGGCATTATACAATGGTTTTTCCAACCTCTCTTGCTCCCGCTTCTCTTCTGAAGTTGTCCTCCACAAATTACTGCAGGAACTCCGCATGCCCATCCATAGATTAGATAATCAATGGATGTACGTCCACGGTGTGCAGAAGGCAACCGTAGACGAAGGACAAGAAGCAAACTCTAGGGATGAGGTTCTCATACACGATGAGAGGAGCGTAAAAACTTCAGAGTTTCAAAAGAATACTGCAAGTCAATTTCATTTATTCCATTTCTAATACAAAAGCAGTCAATAAGTCATGCACACACCCAACAGAAGATCGAGATACTCACTCATCCTTGTACTGCTGGATTTCGCCCTCTGGAAAATCTCCTGAAGGAAACAGATCCTTCACAGGAATAGATGGAGGATCGGTTTGCTCCAGCACAGAATTCTTCTTCCTGCATGTCTTATGTCAGCAGAGAGAGCTAAAGTGCACACACCAAGATGATGGGTAATAATAACGTCTTGAAAAGCACCCAAAAGCAACATACACACCATTTCAATTCATGCAACAGGGGGTACTATCACACTCCATAGAATGCCTTAGCGGCAAACTAAGCAAAAGCTTCAGTTGGATACTCACTTGCTCTTGGGCTTCTTCTTTTTCTTCTTTGACGCCTCTGCACAGACAAGACACCGGCTTCACAACCCTAAATCTTTCACAGCTCAAATATTACTTACATCATGATGGAAAAAAATACATTCCCATGATTACATATAACCAGCTCTATCCGTGTAGGAAATGAGCAGACTCTTACCGTCAACTTCGGCCTCGATTTCATTTTCTTCATCATGGCCTAGACAGGCCTCAACTGTCCCATTACCGCTGGTAACATTGGCAGCAGCTTCTGGAACATCAACTGCGCTTACTGCACCATTACCAGTCTTCTTGTTTTTCTTCTTCTTCTTCTTTTTCTGCTGTGCCACTGCTACTCCGTCCTGAATATCAGCCACCAGATTATCAATCCATAACCCTAATTGAGTGTCATCTGCGTTGAACCATGAATTGCAGAAGAAAGTGAAGACTCACAGCATCCAGGGCTGCCCCGCTGCTCTGTACTGCTCCATCATCTCCCTCCTCCAGTTCCAAGGCCTCCAAAGATTCACGCACGTCACCACTGAGAGGCGATTTAATATCCCCACCCATGTCTTCGATGCAACAATAACTTTGCAGCTTTGCAGAATCTACCCTCAAACCCTAAAACCTGTATCCATACATCAAGCAAACACCCCCAACAATTAAAACAATCCACTGCTTTAGAAGGCCACCCACGCTTTGGAATTTTAATAAACAGCTCAAACTCGCACGTAATTTAACTTGATTTCTAGCTACACATCTAGGACCATATGAATCTCAACCTACCCATCTAGGACCATATGAAATTCAGACACCTCTCATGGCTTCCTCAAATTCAAAACGACTCATCGCATCCACACTTCAGTCAAACCAAGGCAAAATTTGAGACCGACATCCTGCCTTGACGTGGATCAATCAGCTTGTATACCCACCAAGTGTGTGTAGCTCCATCACAAGGTGACGACCACAAAGCAAAATCTAGACACAACACATATCTATATATATATATATATATGTAATTAGAGTTATTGCAGACGAATTATTCAACTGATTGAAACACTGCAAGCAACATGGATACTTACAGTGTCAGTAGGTTAGGGAATTCAATCGACTTGGATTCGGAGCATGCTCGCAAGGACATGTATAGCAGCCAGCCAAGGCCATCGCCGCTCCTGTCCTGCGGCGCCATGGCCTCCCAGGTCCTTCGTCGTTCATGTTCCCAACGCCCGTGCCAGAGTTCCCCACTGTCCGCCTCCTGGGGTACGCGCGGTATGGAGTTCACTAGACTCGGACAAACCGTGGGGGATTCACAGAATGATCCTAACCAATCCATAACCGAGATCGGGGAGTTTTGATGGGAGAAATTAAAAATAAATAAATAAATGGTTTCCGTTCATAGGTATATTCCGATTCTCATCCAACTCATATATTCTTCATCCAATTGGATGAAGAATGTCTAAATTGGATGAAGATTAGATGAAGATTGGATGAGATATCTCAATTGGATGAATAATATTTCATCCTATTCTCATCCAATTGGTTCTTTCATTCAAGATCATGGATGAGAATTAGAAAGAATTGGATGAAAAAATACATATGGATAAGAAATTGAGTTGTGCCAATGTTGTGATTTTTAATGGATCCCATTTTAGATCAACATAATGAAGAATCCATATATGATAAAATATATGATACCAAAAGTTGAATACAACTATAGATTTGGTGCACCTCAATTTTCTATTTAGATTATTGGATTTGACTTAATCGAATCAATCCCAAAGTTTATATCAAATAAAGTAGGAGGTAATAAGGAGATGGAGAGATAATTTGAAAGGTTAATTAATTAGTGTATTTAGCAAATTTCAAGTATGTCTTTGTAGTGTTTTTAGTATTTCAGTTAGTTGCAACAATGTCATTTTATGCACTAATGTCATTTTTAAAGTAATTTTAATTAGATGATATTGTAGTTTGCATGACTACCATTTTATCTTTCAAAAATAGGATATTTTTAAACTATAATGCTTTCTTACTATGCATACAATCACTTATATGGTTGTAGTTTAAATTTTGGTATTAATTAAAGTTATTTTATATGTGCACTAATTTTATGAAGTTTCTTTTGTATTTTTCTTACAAATAATGTTCTATAGATAGATATTCTTTAAAAGCCTCCATTCTTAAGGATTAAACTATAATTAAGCCAATACCACTTTGTAATCCATGAAAGAACTTAAAGATTTGAGAGTAATAAGAACTTAGCTACTATCAAATTTAAAGCAAGTATTTGAAATATAGTTGAATTAATATCTAATAATAATATAATATTTAATTATTTTCTTAAAACTTATTAGTCACTACATTGGTTTTTATTTATTTCTTCTAAATTATTGTTTTATATCTACTATCACGGATATACATATTTATATAGATTAGAGGAGTTAGATAGAAGTAAATAGATTTGATAATATCTTGTTTAAAAGCTTTATAGATACAATTTGACTTTATATGTATTTGTAGGTGATTGATAGGTTAGAAACTTGGCCAATAAGTTTGTCACATATTGCACATGTTGGCCACTTGTGATAGAAGTTTGCCATGTAGCACATATGTGAAACTTGTTTTATAAGTTCAACATGTTGGAGGTCCTATAGAACATTGCCACATAGATAGTATAAATAGAGGCAAGATTGAAGCTTTTTCACTCTTATCAATGCCTTTTTAGACCTTAGTCGTATTTTAAGAATCTTTGATCTTTTTATTTTTGATAATAGCCATTTTACTTTTAATATTAGACTAATTTGAAGTGAATATCTATTCTTTTCAAATGACACAAGAGTATATCAATGTTTTATTTTTTTATAATTCATGTCCTTAACATTTATATAGTTTGATTGTTCTACTTGTGATAAATTTTTAATGCTTATATTATATCTTTATAACTAGATGTTGTTGCACCAAGTTTCTTTTACTTGTCTATGTATGCATCTTTCTATCATATAAAGTTCCTAATTACTTATAAGTTTATTTCTTTATTTTCAAACATTGCCAAAAATATTAATAATATCTTTGTTTTTGGAATTTTTAGATTTTTTTTATATAAATTAAAATCGTCACAACATATTAAAAAATGAAATTATATATAAAAGAATCAACAAACAAAATCAATACTTTAATTGATATTATAAGTCTTGAAAGTACTCCAATATTAAGCTTGCAAATTAATACAAATTTCTTAGAAAGAATAAAAAACATATCAATTCATGTATGATATTGTGTTATGTCAAAATAAACTTAAAAATGCATTAGGCATCTAGCTATAAAGGGTTTTTATCGTACCTTGAAGTTTGATTTATAACCCAAAAAATTACATAAAGTATTAAGAAATACCTTTTGGTACTTCAATAACTTAAGTAAGCTCTCAATTATTTTGAATACATCCTATCATCCTTAGAAAAATCTTAGATATATCTTATAACACTCTAATCAATTACAAGTAAATCCTAAACAATCTTTAATAAAATTTAATGAAATTCTAATCAAATCTTAATTGAATCTTAATAAATTCTAATAAAATCCTACTTAAATCCAAACCAAATTTCAATAAAATCCTAATTAAATCTTAATCAATCTTATAAAAAATTTAACAAAATCATAAATAAATCCTTGTCAAATCTTAATTCAATCCAAGGTAATTTTAATTAAATCCTAATCAAAGTCTTTAATAAAATCAAAACTTCAATAATCAATAATTTAATTATCAACTTGACTTTAAATTTGCATGCTTTTTAATCTCTAAGTTAATAATAAGTTCAACAAATTTAAAGAAAATTAAACATGCTAATTAAGAAATAAAAAAAGCTCACAATGCATTTGAGTATTAAATGACTTTCTTTTCCAATCTTACTACCAATCTTTCAACACTAACATCTCTCATTTGCACTATTCAATTTTTCTTAAATTTTTCATAATTGTTAAAAATCAAGTTTTTTTTTAGTCTACTAAACCTTACTTCAATCCAATTGAAAATTTGTTGCAAAACTTAGAAACCTTTATTAGCCCTTAAAATCCAATTTTTAATATCTCAATCTACTTAAATTTTAATGATCTTAAATTTAATCATCTAATCAAGTTCATATTTATAATGCACATTCAATACAATTATGTTCAAATATTTACAAATTTTCATTTGAAGATATATTACAAATCTTATAAAGTTTTCTGAAATACAAAATTTTTTTATTTTACAAAAACCAAAAGCATTCCAAAACATCAAATTTTTGCACACACCTAAGTTCTAACATAGAAAAAAAATAAACACTGTATTGTTATTTTTTATTCTTCCATAACTAACTAAATTCATAAAAATAAATTAATTGAATTTCTTTTTATTCCATACCAAATTTAAAAAGTATTACAATTATTTTCTTTATATTTACATGAAAGTTTTTTAATAAAACTTTATTTAAGTCATCACATTTTCTACCTACTACTAAATTCAATTACTACTTATAAAATTTGTAATAGATTTTTATTTTATTATGGTACTAGCAATTTGGTATATATAGAAAGAAGTTAGAAGTCACAAAAATTAACATCATCAAGGTTGCACACAAAAAAAAGTTTGAAGTGAGATAACTTTTACTTTTAATATTCTTTATTTATAAATTGTCGTTCATGCTATAATAAACAACTTCTATCTCTTCAGTTCCACATTTATCAAAAAATATAGCTATTATATCCTTTGAAATCTCACCTATTACAAGGATATTCTTTAATATATATTTTATGTTCTTATTTATCTATTGGATATTTTCTAATAGATCTTTTATACTCTTAATCTTATCTTTTGGTCCTTAACATTATAGCTAATCTATAATATGGTCCTTTCACATACTATCATTTTAACCATTAATAATTTATATAAGATAATATCTGTATGTGATAATTTACTTTAGTCTTATTTTAACTTATTTTAATATTTTCACTTTATTATTAGTTAAAGGCTTTTAAACCAAATATCTTTGTTAATATGTGATAGTTATCCTTTACTAATATTTTTACAAGAAAATGAACAAGTATATCTTTTGTTGCACAATACTTCATGTGAATCACATATATTTCAATCTTCTTTCAAATAAAGTAATGTTAAAAGTCTACATGTTTTGTTCTTGAATGATGTTTTAGATTCTTTTTAAAAATAAAGAATCTTAAATTATTACATTTGATTATAATTTCTTCTAATTGCATAAGTTTTATGTCTTTGAAAACTTATCTAAGCTAAAAAAATTCCATTACATTAGTCTTATTACTATGTACTTAGCATCTATTTTTATCAAGGATATAAATTTCAAAAAACCAAAAAATAAATACATCTCTAAGTCATTCAAAAAGACTAGATAATCACTCAAAGATGGTATAATATTAAACTAGAATAGTTATTGCCAAAGACAAAAAAAACAAGAATTTTTTAAAACAAAACTAAGAACAAAAAAAATATTGAGAAGAGTAAAGAAGGCCTTGCGATTATTAGTTTTCTCTTGTAATTTTATGATATTTTTTTCACTCTAAAAAAATAAATAGTTTCTTATTGACCTTCAATTATTAATATCTTCAATTTAATTTGCATCATAATTTCTATACAATGCAATGCTATCACTTTTAAAACATAATTTGGAGTGCAAAATATCTTTTAAGTACCTCATGATTTTATTTTATAGTTTTTCAATTAATTGGCTCAATTTTTGACTCATAAGACTCATTGCATATGTAAGATCCATCTTTGTGCCAACCAATGCATAAATAAGTGAGTCTATTGCTTCCTTGTATAGAATATCTTGTATTTAACCTTTAACTTTAACAAATTCTTTATTTGTAAGCTTCATCAACTTTAGGTAGGCTTCTAAAGTTATTCCAATGAACTTGCACTCTTTTACATTTAATTATTTCAAAACTACTTTATTATACTTGCTTTGGCTTATTGTAATAGTCTTCTTTCAATAATCTCTTATGAATTCCATTCTTAAGTAATAATGGCCCTTCTAAATCACTCATCTTAGATTCTTTTTTTTAATTTTATTTTTAATTAATTTATCTTCTTCAAAATATTGATTAAGATGATTAAATCATCAACAAAAAAAAAATAACAACCAACAAGAACTATTTTGATTGTATTACATACAAAGAATAATCAGTTTCACTTCTAACAAATCTTTTATTTACAAAAAATGTATCAATGTATTAGTAC